CAATAAGAGTGATTTAAGATGCAAGTGCGTAATAAACTCTGTTCACAGGATTTTGTGAATTCCATTCAGGTTTCACATTTACTGATAAGAATCGAGATTGTGGAATGTGCAACCGTGCATCGTCCAACTTTTCATCCCAATTAGAGGGGGTAGACGATATCCAATTCTTTGATATATTAGGCAATGATTACTTTTCCGTATATTTGAACCGAACGTGCACAAGCAATTCAGAGGATTTCAACTCTGTGTTATCATCTATTGACCAGAAAGTGGAATCAATTGGCAAGAACGCATTTTTCTTGTTTAAAAAAAGAACATTTTCAACAGACACCAGATATTGTGAACACGTTTTTTGGCCAAACGAATAATTTAAAAGGGACCATGGAGTTACCAGAGTCTCAAAAATCTGCAATTTTATTGATAAAATAAGTTTATAAGATTAAGTCTCCTCTCTAATTCATTCAAATCGTTTCGAGAATTTCAATTTTCTATTGAAGAAGTGCAAGAGAATACAGTAGTGTGAATCATTTCAAATATTGAACGACTGCGAGGTTCTGAAGATGAAATTATTATGAATGATATTATTCATGATTCCTATTGAATATTGTAATATATAGAGCATACCTTTAAAAAACGAGAAAAATTAGGTGCTAGTGAATGATTTGTAAACAAACCAAGTGGCTTTAAAAGTGAGAATCCTCTTTATGGTTTGAGATTCCTTGTTACCAACCGACTTTTAACATCTGATTCAAGATTAGTTTTTATCATATGAGCAAAATATGTTAGTGATTTAGAATACCAGTACACCTTCTCACGGTAGATATACCGCTCCTTAGAAATTAAGTTCCTAATTAAGCAATTGTTAGAAGGAAGTGCTATTCGGCAGAAACGGCCAGAAAATACGTCCGTTTCTGATTTAGAAGGGATTTTAAGTGGCGTTGGTTTAGCACCCGTTTGATAAATTGAATAAACAACATCGTGGTCATGGTAGGGAGAAGGATAAATCAGTAAAGAAATTCGATCGATGATATTCGAGACTTTTATTAGGTTGAATTTGCATTGTTCCTATTGCTACTAAAAATATCTTTTCTACTGTTGATTGCATAGAGCTCAAGGCCAAAAATACTGATTATTGCGTCTTTGCAACGATGATTCCATTAAGAGTGCAAAGGAGTAGCTTTTTTCAAAATGAGCATTCGCATTCAATTAAGAGGCTGGCACTTCTCCTCTTCAATCGAATTCCTCGGAGGAGGTAATCTGTGCTTTCAGAGATCCGAATCGAATTTATATATATATATCCACTTAGTATTGTCGTCAGCACTTTTGACGTATTCAGGCGTTCAGGCGACAAATGCGGTCATAATTCGTGTGATTAATGGATAAGTTAGCATGAGTCACTTATAATAAGACGTTTACCAGTGATTCACAATCCTCCCAATTTACACAGGCATCTTTGCATATGCAAAATTAGTGGCTGACTGAGTGTCCACATTATCGCACTTCTGTTTCTGAAATGGTCGGACAATTGCCTGAGATATGTTATGGTCTCTTTCTCGATGGATACCTGACCTTGTTATTATACATATAACCTTATTCAAAATAGCATTCGCTTTTAATTTCGCCAAAAACCTTGAAACACACTATAAATATTATGTATGAAAAAGGGAGGTTTGTTTATTTCCTTTCATTGGGTATCAAAAAACGCTGGTTTCGTGATATTTGCAATAATAACCCAAAAAAACATCTTCAAACTGGCCCAATTCGCAGTGGGATCAAGAAATTGCCGATCCTTGATTCGATAAAAGCCAAACCTTATTCTTAAGGTGGATTTGAAGTAGTTTTAGGAATCAAATCACCTAAACCAAAATGTCTTTTATTTTTTTCTCAGGATTTATTGAAATTTATTTGGTTTTTTTGTGAATTGGAATCGCTTTAAGCATTAAACAGGAATTTATAACATTAACATTTGTTTCCTGATTCAAATTCAACAATTTACTTGAAAAATAGACACAATAGAACGGAAATTTGAAATTATTTTTTTTAAAAATACATATTTATCATTTTGCAAATTATAATAGGCACTGAACAGCCTTTCCTCAGTGTATGGTCTGATGCTACATTTTCTGTATCACAGATAGAGGTGATCCTGGAAGGAAATTATCGATTTTTAAAGCACCTTGAGTGCTTGGTTGTTCATTAGGAAAGCGCGAATTACAATGCTAATGGAGGTTCATTCCACAGTTACGCCGAGATTTGGGCTAAATGCCACTAGAAAAAGCATTCCTATTGTCCCTCTTGTAATCGCACGATGTTATGGGTTTCATTAATTAGGTATTTAATAACTTAAATTGGCTTTAAAAAGGGAAGTAGTCTTTCTGCCAAATTCCGTTTAAGATGGGATAATTTTCAATTGTTTATTTTCAATCAAGATGATGTAAAGGTGAGAAAGCCTGAACTTGTGCTTTAAATTCTGGTTAGTCTATTTGAATGAACGTTGCCCTTATAATTAATTTGCTATATATTCCTATTTAACCCTCTTTAATAACATGTGTTAATAGATATAATGAAGGTCATTTTGTTAGTGAGTTTTGACCTCCAAACACGATTTAATTAACTCAATTCTTCCTTGCCAAGAAGCAGGTCTTTTCAAAATAATGTATTCCGACCACTTGCAATGCTAGAGTTAGTAATATATATATATGTCAATTGGCCGTGTTCATTTACAAATTTGCTAGATATGCCGACTTTCTCTGGCTTGGAAATTATTACAAGATTTCAATATTGGACAAACTGTTCTCCTGTTACTGATGACCTCCCTAGTGATTGCATTAATATCCACTATGCTTCAACCACTAGGTATTCCAAGTCTTAAACAGTTAGGTAACCATAAGGTATGGATAATCGATATTGAAAAAGAAATTAGTACACTGAATAATGTCCATTTCAAGCAATTATTGGAAACTAATTGTTCAGCCCACTGAATCCGTGTCTTCAATTACCTTATCAATGCCCATATAGTTGATCAAAGAGCAATGGTTCAAGTCAATATTATAAGAGTTCAAATCATTGCAAATGCTAGTTCGTCTCCTTTACAGTTAATAGTACTTCTTCTCACCCTTTCAAATTGATGTTTACGGTTTACACTACAGTGGTTGTTTCTAAACGAAGTTCTCGTTCTACAACACCATTATCACAAAGGCAATTATTGCTCTTTGAATTTGTATCAACAAGAATGTAGCAATCGCACTTCTATTCCGCCTTACAATTTGCGTAATTTTTTTCAACCCGTTTTTTTGTGCGACGCAACGGTGACACGCGATGACCTTAAAATTGCGATGACGCGATGGGGGCGTTGGGGAGGGGTGGGGGGGGGGGGGGGGTGGGGGGGGGGGGGGGGGGGGGGTGATCACAGCGGCAATTTGTCTAGGGTCACGAAAGAGCGAGATTGGAAGGTAGAAGTACAAGTCACTCAAATGCGAATGCAATTACGCAACGCATACGCTTTTTTTCTCTAAAGTTTCTGCGAATATAGGAGGTGTGCAGTCCAGTTGAAGGTGTTCTCATTTTCTCTGAGAATCTCTATTCCATCTTAAACAGGAAAATTAATAACTAAGTGATGCCAATTACAAGGTCATTTGGATGAACTCCTTAAAAGGCCGTCTTGTGTAGAGGTAGTCATCGTGGAGACCCCCACTATGAGCAAATGAAACTGCTATTTCTTCGATAGCCAAAGAGGTTTGCCATTCTGCTCAATATTTAACACTAGTGTACATCGAATTCGTGATCTTCCACTTCGCTGAAAAGGACGTTACTTGCTGAATTGCTTCTTTTCTGTTGGGAATGAGTTGAGAATTCCAACTATAAGGGGTGTTGCAAGATCACCAAATAGTGATAAAAATAATGACGGATGCCAGTTGGTAAAGATTCACTAATGGGTCCAACAGACAATACTGGTTTCAGTGTTGGTATTGGTTTAAATAGAAATCGCATTTACCAAAGAGCATTAACTCAATTAACAAATTTATACAAAGGAAACACCAAATTTGCTTGACTAAAATCTTGAAATGTGAAATTATACTGACTTATTAATTTTCTACATTACTTAATACAAAATTCCTTTCCAAAATGGACTTTCAATGAGCTTTCACATTCCAAAGTAAAAATTTCAAGGGAATTGTGTAGATATGTAGACTAACAGAACATTAGAATACCTAGGTAAAAATGTTTTTTTTGAGGTGACTAACAACCGTGTCTTAACTGGTGCGAAGTTCTGGCTACAGCAAATTTGGGATCCAATCAGCTTACTTGTGTTATTGGAGTGTTTTAGTTGTGGCGGCAAGATATGTGAGTGTCTCGGTAAAAATGTGCTTGCAACAAAACTTATCTGACGGGGTTGAAATGTGTTCTCCTCAGCCCAGGCACGATGAAATACTGAAGGCCAAATAACATTCAATCGATAAAATTGAAAATCAATACTAATGCTAGCGTTGATTTTAGCATATTAGATATGAATTAAGGAAAGCCATGTTACTATGGAATTGAAAAATGCTTTACCTCATTTAATTTCCCTATTCCTCATTTGGTATAATTTTTTATTTAAAAAGAGTTGTTATTTTGCACCATTCCATGATAGGTCAAAGTTCAAGATTAGGAATCGAATTCCCGTGGACCCAATTATCAGAGTTGATTGGAAAAGAACTGAATTAGCTAGGTAGTTTGCCCACCTTGATAAATACTGGTTGGTCAAGATAAATGAGGCACCGTATGAGGCAATACTATGTTTTTCTTTTTTTTACTTAAAAGTTCACAGCTTATTTTAAAAGCGTTTGACATGAACTCCGATTCAGAGTAAGGTTTATTCGTTTCACTTTCCCCCTTATAAGAATAATTCACCGTTTATAACAATGAGATTGTGTTTTATAATAGCAATAGTCAGTAGAGATCTCTCAATAAGGAGTTTGAATCTTCTGGCAAGCGCATATTCTACTTTTTGCAAGGAGATGGAACAAGAATCAAGCATTCTCCCTCGAGTTAAGGTATAAGAAATGGCCAGGATGGATTGGAGGTATTACATTGTTTTATTTTCATGCTGAAAACTGCAGCTAACGTTAAAATTATGTGGAATTAAGCTCATTGTGGACAAATTGAACAGAAATGGAAGCTATCAGGTTGTAGCCTACAGGGCAGATGTTAGGGAAATTGGTTGTAAACTCTAAGAGGGTGAATATGCGGTAGTTGGAAAGTGACAAACAATTCTGTTTATCAATAAATTGCATTAGTATATTTTTAAAAAATGAACCAATTAGTACCATTGTTGCGCGAAGGCTTTCACGACTAGAAGGATCGATTTCAAGAGCGCGTGCGAAAGGGCACCTGGTCGAGGAGAAACAGTTGAACCAACTGTTTCTGCAATAACTGACATCTATCCCCCCCCCCTCCACATCCTTTATGCCTCTATAACTGACATATTTATATCAATGCATACTCTTTTTATTACTTTCGGGACAATTGTTTAAAATTACTCATACTAAGACTGTTCAATTTTTACTTACACACTCTTGCCACCTTCAAAAGCGTCCCCCCCCCCCCCCCCCAACAACAAGGAAACACACAAGAACAATATCTCGACTGTCTAATTAAAATTGGTTGGGCTATAATGTAAAATTTTAGTAGGATTTTTTAGAGTGCGTGGCTACTAGTTTGGCATTTAACTAATCCACTATAACCTATTTTAATAGATAAAACTCATGTTTAAGCAAAGGACATTTTATCTTGTACTTATATACGTCCGGAGAGGTGTGTCTCCATCAAACGCCCCACCCCTTACGCCAGTTATTAAATTTTCTAGAAATAAGTTCTGTTCGATTTGTTAGAACATTCGATTGACATAAAAATAAACTGCCCAATGCTCACAAAAGAGGCATTTTCATTTCTATGCAAAATAAGAATGTGAAATTCACGTTTTTGTTTCTTATATTTTTTGGAGAGAAATTAGAGAAAAAAGTTCAAACATCGGCACTTCTACAGTTAATGTGCTTATCTCCTACTGGGGAGTAGGAATTGAGTATTTGTCAGATGCACAAATTGTCCGATTTATTATTGTAATAAATGACTTCATAAATAACTACCCGATCGATTTACAGGTCATCGACACTGAAAAGTCTGATGGCTATGACACAAGAGCCGATGTTTGGTCTCTGGGAGTTACGGGGATCGAGCTTTGGGAAGCTGAACCACCACTGGCTGGAGTTCCGCCAATGAAAGCCTTCTCCATGATTACTCATGGACCACATCCTCTTTCCCTCTACCCCTCGAAACCCCCACCGGATATTGATGTATCGCCGGACGATGTGCTTATTCCAGTCACTGATCAGATGCCTGCGGAGATGTATGATTTTCTGACTAAGTAAGCAAAAGATCGCAATTTATTTAATTATGAGTCATTGAAATTTTGATTTACTCATAGGTGGCTATAAAATGCTTTATGTCACAGTATGAAGACGCAAATGTCATTAAGGTTATCTTGGAGTATTCCTACTTGTGTGACGTACAGACCATTTGCTGGGATCAGTGAAATGCCAGCCATTTTGGTTCAATTCTAAAATTTTGGAGCATATGTCTTCAAACGGCTTCGAATATTATTTACTTTATTCGTTTTCGCACCATTTATGCAGAGATGTTATATAAAGGAAGTAAAATCGAAGATAATTCGATTCTCCTACCCTAAGACATAACCTCTTAGAAAATTTAAGATTTTTCCCACGATAACACGATTAAAAACGGAAATCTCAGCACAAAAGTTCAATGTTTTAGACTTGACAACGAATATGTCCTATGTCGGTGATGAAGTGTTGGAGACGTAAGATTATAAGGGGAAGTTGAATGCGTTTGAAAAACCTGTTGGGAAAATCATGTTTGATCTTGTTATTAGTCTTGCGGCCTATATTAAATGATTCTATATACGTAGACAACTGAGGTGATTGTGATCACTGTTCTACTTAAATCACCTCCTTACATGAGCATGAATTCTCTCAGAAGGGAGAAGAAGATTCCGGGAATGTGAATTCTTTAACTTTTGGATTTAGAGAGATAAGGATTACATCCGAGGAGGTCAAAGACATAAAACCTTCTTCGGATAATAAAATTTGCGGAACGACCTAATTTTAAATCCTACTTCAACTCTATACCTCGCCCTCTTATCAGACAAAATATGTAATTGTCTGCTTTGTTGTGAGTTTTAATAAGGAGAATAATTGTCATGCCAAAGCCAAGCCAATCTTCTTATACTTAACATTGCCAAAGTTGCAGCTGTTTATAGATATGCCAACTTCGAGATGTTCACCTAAATGGGAAGGAACATTTTGTCTGAAAAAAAACCATCAGGACTAAATGTTACAGGTTTAAGTTAATAGTTAAAAGCTGAACTGCTTACAGGCAAGGTATTTGCTAACCTCTTTTCCAACAATTTGTGAACTGTACAACTTTGATCCAATTCATCTTTCGGATGCTAATTTAAAATAAGCGAACATATTAGAGAAAGAATCATGGCGCTTCATTGATGGAACAGTTGGTCTACCGGTATTTGAAGCTGGAGGTCAAGAGTTCGACGCTATGTTAGTAAGTACTTAAGTCTGGCTATAAAGAACGTAGCAAAATTCCCAAGATGAATGTTGGAAAACGATTTCCAGAATTGGCCTGGGTGCTGTTTTAGATAGGAACACAGAACCCCCCCCCCCCCCCTCGCACACACACAGACATATTTCAAGTTCCTCGAATGGTCTCAATTCTGAACACTCACTCGAGGTGAAAGTAGAATGACTAGTCAGGTCTCCATTTGAACATTTGCAATTAACCTTCAGCCGATAATTAGAACTAATGCAGTAATCTTAAAATCTTAAACACTTGATATGCGTTTATCACATTTGATTTGGTAGCACACAATTAAATTGAAGTACAAATCAGCGGCTATACCAGCTAAACGCCCGAATGAGAATATAACATCAAGATCGTATAATCGACAGATATTTATTTATTTATTTCAAATGGGAGGCGTTTTGAAAGTTATCATTAGCCATATAGCTAACTTCAGGCTTCACAGAGGAGAAGGAACATCAAAGTGACAAAAAGTCGAGAGGGGGGACAGAATAATGATTCACAGATGTGACAGAGACAGACAAAAGAGCAGAGAAAAGGTAAGATGAGTACTGTAAATGTGTTGAATATGGCATAGTGGGGGGGGGGGGGTAGTTTGAAGTCAGAAGTCAACTGCCGGTTAATAGACTTTTTTGCCGTATGAGTATACGTTGCCCAGGGTGCACCACATGGAGGTAAGTCTATCGCACACCCCATAATCGGCAGATATTAATTGTGGCATAATTCGTAGAACCCATCGTGTCATTGAAATAAACAATATCCTCCTTTTCACATTGAATTGTACGCATCAAAATTACCAATTCATAATCAATAAGCTTAAGTAATTGAAGATTCAATTTTAAATATTTTATCTTTCAATACTCCAATTATTTACCTGAATTTCGAGTTGGCGTGATAGCTGAATAACTTGCTACTTCAAGTTTTCGTCAAGTGATTTACCAATGGAAAACAAACGTGAATCTGTATGCAACAAAACGAATCATGTAATTGTTTTTTTTATTGTCAAACACTCATGCTTTAATGATTTCCTTCAGATTTTTTTATGTGATAAATTCAAATAAATAAATTAGTTAATTAGGTAAGCATAAACGAATCAAATCAGACTGCGAAAAGAAAAACAATCATGTCTTATTTTTACTAAATTTCTTATGGCCAATATTTTATCCCTGCAATTGATTTAATTTAAATTAAATCAATGCAAAGAATATATTTCATCGCCACGATTTCCAACTCTGTAAGTGTGCTAAAAATAGACAATTGTGTCCTAAAAAAGTATTTTTGCTGCTGTTGTCAGCCAAAACAGCTAGAAATTTATCTCACAATGGAAAGTTAACATTGCTCCCCTATTTGTTGCATTTAACAAGAATTGTCTCCTCAATGTATTAGGTGAGGAGGGTACTTGTTTACTCTGTATTTGACTGGCAAATCGTTCAAGTTCTTGATTAATTTCTTCGGTTGAATACTCTTAAAGTTGTTGACAAGTAAAGTAAAGGCTTGTCAAAGCCATCACCTCATGGAATGAGTAATTCAAATCCCAACCGTGGTAACCAAGCCTCCAGCCCTAAGTCCTGTAAACTTGACAGTTAGTCGGGACAGAACTGTCATCGCCTTGGGGATAGTTAAATCTTTGGCAATTAAATACCCGAACACCTTCATGCTTATTACTTCAGCTATATCGTAATGGCCATTTAACGTTAGAAGATATTAAGAGTGATTTATTAGTCCAATTTGACTTTTTTGGCCATTATCGTAAACTAATTTAATTTCAAATATCAATAATCGCACTTTGTTAGTTGCATTGCCATTTAGACTAGAATAGCACTGAAAATATTGCCATTCAGGGTGAACAATCATTTTAAGTTATGACAACACTATTTTATTTTAAAATAGAACCATTTATCTACAAATGGGGGCAGGTGAGTACCGTGAACTGACTAGTTCAAAGGTAGAGTGAACGTCGAACTTAATTTTAAAGTACTATAAGCATTTTGTTGAAATTTAATTACATTAAGTTCAATTGAATATAAGATTGCACTGATTTTGACTGAGAGTACCACATTAATATTTACATTATCATTAATATTATTATTGTCATTAAATAAAATCATGAAAAGAGTGATATGAAATGTTTCAGTCATGAGACTAAAATGTCTATCTCGTTCTCTGTCCTTAAAAGAGCAGCACTTTGAGCAATTTCACCGTAGTACTTTGATCTCAAATAGGCAGCTATTGTAAATGCTAATTTTCAAAACCAATGGTTATTGTTTATTCAATTTTACAACAATTTTCCATTTCTTATAACTGCATAGGAAAATGAACACCATATTTAATGGAATAAGCAGTGGCTTCGTGTTCTAATGTTACAATAATCCAATTTCATTTTTCATATCTCATTCCTGAGTGAAATCATGTTTGCAAAGTCGAGAGTGTATCGATCAGTTGAGTAATGTTGATGATTGGTTAATCAAATTCAATTGAATTTGATACATCAAAAATAGTAACGAATTGTACAATCATAGAAAAGTGTGGCTAACATTTTTTGCACGAATCGATAAGGAAATCATGTGATTCAATATTTAACTCTTTAACATCATTAGGACCTTACTGATCCCTTTCAAAATAAGCTCCTTTGGTACTAGACTCTTAACAGAAGGCTCTATTGCCGTTTGAAACATGTCCAATACGTGTCTATAGCCTTCGCCTGATATACCATGAAAACTCATCACGTCGGTGGCATCAGTCTGCTGTGCGACACACGTGAGTGCGGTTGGGTGCGTTTTCTAAAAAGAGAAATTTGTTCGTCAATGGTGTAAAACAAAGAGTGACAAGAAAGGCATAATGAATAAAATGATTTTGTTCCATAATTTTATCGTTATGTCATTAAATAATGGACTTAACTTTTTCCGCCCTCCAACCGGTACCTGGGAAAAAGGGCTGAAACTAAAAGCATTTGAGTAGGTAATTTATTGAATAACGCATCATTTCCTTTTTTTACCCAAGAGCGGAATACTTAATTCTGAAAAAAAGAGTATTTTATTTCATGAGAATCACAATAAAACCGACCTGTGGTATAAAAATACGCAATTCATATTCTGAGAAATTCACTAAAACTTACTTCTGCTAATTATCTAATTTCCAAATTATTTGTTTATATCAAATGGCAGGCGATTTGATAGTAATCATTAGTCCTTTTATTGACTCCGGGCTTCAGAGGGAGAAGGAGGAACATCAAAGTTGGAAAAATTCGAGGAAGGGAACAGAAAAGGGATTCAAGGATATAGAAGAGATAGACAGGCACAAAGACAGAGAAAAGGTAAGATGAGTGCTGTGGAAGTGGTCGAATATGGCATGCGATGGGGTCATGGTAGTTTGAAGTGAGAAGTCAACTGTTGGTTTATAGACATTTTTTGCGTATTAGTATACGTTGCCCAGGATGCACTACGTGAAGGTATGTCTATCGTCCACCCCATTTCTGAAATATGAATATGTGCGCTATTTTGGGGGAATGAATATCAAAACAAGATAAAAAACATAATTTGGTGTTCTTTACTTTCTATATTTTCAGGGAATCTGTTTGCCTATAAGGCTGCATTTGTTCACATCCTCACTTTTACCTGTGAATTTGTAAAATAAGCGACAGATAAGCTGAAAGGGCACTTCTCATGCACATCATCGCAGGTACCAACTTGTTCAAAAGTTGCTAGCAAATCTAAAGAGATCTTGTAAGTGCTCAAAAATAATACTGGGTCTCTGTTGAGACATATTTTCAAAGATCTATGGTTTGGCTGACCAATTGTCAAACTTTCCAGAACAGCTGATGTGGGTATCAATTAAGTCCCACCTGAAATGCACGAAGATGACTCACCTTTCCAATCTGGTAGAGCAGTTTAGTCGCAATTGATTGGTTTCCACAATTACAAGAAAACCTTACAAAAATTACAATTAATATATGGAATATCGATTTTCTCAGGGGCAGAACCCCATAAAATAGCATCAAATAAGGGTTATCATTAGAAGCGACATGGTGAAGGCCATTGACGGACATACGTCTAGTCTTTAAGGCCACTAACAGATGCTTTTTTATTTTAAAGATGCTTGGATAAAGACAAGTCTCGTCGACCTTCTTCCGCGGAATTGCTTCAGCATCGATTTTTGGCGGGAGTGCCTCACTACCTTCAAAAAGTAAGTTTTATAATATTAGATTTAAAATGTGAAACCTTGTTTCTTAAATAGAGATACAATTTTTAATAAGAATATTTGTTGAGAGATTTCAGAAACAACAATCGCAGCCATTGCAATCTTAAGTTTCTAATGTCTCGTGACACAATATTGATTTCTCCTTTGATATATTGCCAAATTTTCATTCGACCCAACAATACAAGGATTGGTAGGAAAGTTGTTGCTCCCACAAATAAGGGCCTTTTGAGGAACAATTTTCTCCAAGGTCGATGACACATTTTAAGCCATTTTGAGTCGTGCTCCCGCTTATTGATTTAAAGAAGGGTCGACTTACTCAAGTCCTGAGAGAATAAGGACTTTACCACCTTTGACTTTGTTTGTCAGTATTCCTATAGGAGGCAAAATTTGAAATTTGACAAATCGATCCGTTGGAAGTTTTAAATTGGCCTGGCTGTGTTTGCATATGCAAATCCGGTTCAAACTGGTGTAAATGCTTAAAATCTATCATGATGCTATAATTGCCTATTGATAACAGTTGGAAGAAAAATCAATATATATGTATCGTCATAAGAGTAGGTTAAAATGGACGTGTGTTTTGATAGATGCTTCAAATTCTGTTAAAGGTGTATTTTATCCGAATCACATCAGCAAGTCTTACAGCTCCACTTGTTAAGACGAATTGATGTTTGTTATTAGCAAAATTGACTAGTAGAAGGGTTTTAATGTTTGGAGTACACTTTTGCATACAAAAAAATTCTCACACTTTAAGCTGATTATTTCGAGGAAGGTTGTAAGCAGTAATGTATCAAAGGAAATATGATCACTACGTCATTTGCGTCAAATATTTTAATTCAAGCTAAAATGGCGGAATTATACATGGTGAATTTTGTGTTTCTAGTTATATTAACTTTTAAAATTGTCAAAACATTTTCCAGGCCCATCTAGAAATGCTTTTTGAGTGTCCGCCTTTGGAAAGAGAAATCAAGGCCATCATAATTTTTTGTTCCTTAATCCTCATCTTAACTGCTTTTTTTCTCATTTTGATTGGTACGCAACTGAAGGCTTATAAATGAAAAGTAAATAATAATCTAATAGCTCTGAAAATTTGAATATGGATAAGCGGTTATGAGTTTTCTACCACTGTCAGTCGTTGCTTTCCATCAAGCCAAACTGGAAGTTGACGTTAACAAACAACGTGATCCGTACATCAATCAACTTAGAATTCAACACTTTGTCTATTACCTATTGTAGTACTCCTCGACATAAAATTCACTTATACCCTAACACGAATTTAAATGAAATATAGTAGGCCTTAATGGCCTATCCAAACAGCAATAAGCAAATTTTCTGATGAGTAAGTAGCATTCGGCTCCACTGTACCGGATTGCTACTTTAGTAAAGCCTGACTGACTCAGAAATCTCTATAGCAGATCCTCCTACATCTAGCTAGACACCCAGAACCAGATAAGCTATAGCCCAGCTATAAAGGAAACAGACGTGTAGCACGGAGCACGTTTATTAAGGACGTATATTGCGGATCAAGTGTACACGCATGGAGATACTCGTGATCAGGATGGGGGACTAGGTTAAACAGAGGTTAATGAGTGGTCACTATTTGTACGGTCGCTGCACACAGAGTTGTACTGCCGCACCAGCAGACATGCAGGCATACGATGACGCACACAGCGATAACGTGTCACACGCCACCAAGCCCCTTCTTGCTAAACCACAAATAAGGTTGCTTTAGGAAACTACTTTGACAAAAGGCAATTCGCTTTCAATAAAATCTAAACAGCCTGAAGGGAGGGAGAGAGAGAGAGTGAGGGAGATAAATTGATGACTTCAGTCTTGCATAAAATTGGTTGTGGTACATGGGATACTCTAGACTTAAAAGCAGCGTTTTGCTTTGGGATTTTTGTTAATTTCTTCAATGTAATTGAATGCGATTAGAAGTTGTTATTGTTCTTTCATAGAAAGGAGTTGTATTCTCTTCTACTTTTTCTTAAAACAGCCGAGATTCGTTAGATTGCAAGAAAGCTGTCCGACGTTAGGTTCCAATGCATATGCCTATTTCCTGTTCTAGGTGTGTATTCTAAGCCACTACGCTCTATTTCAGCACAGCGACAAACAAATTTTTACAAATAATTGTTCACATTGTTTAATATTATATCCATGTTCTGTGTTTATACTGCAGATCTTATTAGACCAAATGTAATATTTATTGCTTAAGGTTAGTGAGAAAAAATTGGTTATCAAATTTAATAAAAACAATAGGCACATCGGTGAGAAAGTGGTCTTCATGGATGCTATTTTTCCACACAACTACAAGAAATAATTAGATTTATTGCCTTAATTATTATTTATTATTTATTAATTAAAGTGCAATCACTCGAAATCGCATGGTTCCGCATGTGTTTGGAATGTCGAGGCGTGATTCACTCAGAAATAAGGGTTTTGGTGGAAGTAAAATAGCCGACAGATTACAATAAATATTAAGTTATTTAAAATTGAATTATTATGTACAATTATGCACTGATTGACAAGATTTCAATGCACGCTCCATTTGCATTTTCATCGATTCACGGTTGATGGTTATATTTTATGTCTTTTGTTTTCAATTTCGATTTAATGTAACAAATTTTAGCACATTTGTTATTTTTTTAGAAATTAATATTACTTTAAATACAAGAATATGCACTTTTATATCCTGAATATAGTTCCAAATTCAGAGAGGTAAATAAAAAAGGGATTTATATTTCAATTCAATAAGTTGAGCATCCGTTCCCAATACCCCCCCCCCCCGACCCCTACAATAAATTCTTCATTGTAAATTAGTTGTGACAACAACTTCCGCTAGGATTTGCGTCCTTTATGCTGGTCAGAATATTCGGAGGCTACTCGTGTACCTTTGTCCTCAATCTTGCCACGAGAAGCTCCCACTTATTAACCTAATTGCGTTCCCAACAAAGCACAAATTGTATCCTTGTATATAAATAATACATTTTAATCGAATATACTATTTAGAGGAAAGTGACTTTCACTTCCTATTTCTAACTAGTTATCTGCAATGTTAACTGATTTCCACAAAGCCCAAGATGCTCATCTTGAGGTCCCTTAACATCTAGACACAATTTACCGTGCGATTAAACTTAGAATGAAACTTAAGATTCGTCAGCTTATTTCTCGTTGAATATCAATGTATAATCGATCTTGATTAGGACCAATTAATAGTTTTATTGCGGTTGGCGGAGTGAGATACAGACGCCGAGGAAGCGTTTGTCGATTTGTTAATTTGGTGAGCAATTAAGACGATCGAGGTCATTTTGTTCCACATTGGCGCAAAGAAGTTGAGCAGTGGGAATTGTGTTGTAATAAATCAATTTTCGTGTTTTTGCGCTCTTCTTTCCCCTTGTTTTATTATTTATAATTATTTATATTTATTATTATTCATTTATTACTCATATTACTATACTTAACTAAAAGAAGTTTTCATTTCTTTGAGCAAACATCTGATGGCATTGAAATTTGTCTTCCTCACTAATTCTTCCACTCTATAGTCTACCTGCTTCAGTCAGATGGGTGAAGGTAATCGAAAGAAAAACTGAATTTTCCATTTTTTTATGAAATAAGATTGAAGCTGCTGATACTGGCCTATATTTTTAGAGTTTTTGTCAATGCCAAAAGATAATAACTTTTCTGAAGGTTTGTACCAGCTTCTTCCATTTAAATGGCAGATTTCATTTAAAAAACGCAAATTTCTTTGTTCTTAAATGCCGTTAAATTCTCTCTTATTGTTCTGTTACGTTTTTTTGTCATTTTCATACGGCTACCTCCTCTTGTATCGGTGGCTATCTTTGTAGAGCAAAATTGAAATCTATGGATCGTTTTTGAGAAATTAGTTTAAACCCTCTCAACATTATTGATTTTGGAGATCCAACTAAGGCTGAAATGTACACGTTGACCTTTTGAAAACTCTAGTATTTTTAAAGCATAAATGAAACTCACTTTGGCGTTGAGCACTGCATTCACAAATTCCCTACGAGGTGTTTCTTCTTTCCAGTATCACGGTTGATCTGTATTTTCCTTTGGGTTTGAACAAGTCAATGGAAATAAGACTAGTCATGGGACTATTGGCAACAAGTGATAATTCCATCTTGTGTGTCAGTTAACGTCAATTTTGGTTCTTTACCTGGAAAAGAGTGGCAACAATAGTGTTAGCAATGCTTACCATGATCTATTATAGCATATTCGGGCCATCTATGTGTTCTATACATTTTAAACACTTGGGTATTCTTCTTTATAACATCTAGCGAAGTCACATTTTATTGCAAAGCCGAACGCTTTGAGATTACGTAATGGGAGACCATTTTGCAGAATGACTCACGGCGTTTGAAGGGGATAAGATCTGCTTCCGGTTCAAACTTTCTGCAGAGTGCTTATAAAATTGATCTAATTCCATATTCATCGATGTTGGTCCTACTGAGCACCTTAACCTTTTAACGCCCAAATTATTTTTTGAAAAGTTCCCCCAACCGCACTCATGCGTGTCTTACAGAGGACTGAAGCCACCGACTTAATGAGTTTTGGTGGTATCAGGCGAAGGAATAGCGCCTTCCATTAAGAGTCTAGTACCAATGGAGCCAATTTTGAAAGAGGACCGCATGGTCCTACAGGGCGTTAAAGAGTTAACTAACTTCTCTATTTGCCAAATGCTTTGGTGAATGTTTGTATTTTACACACGCTCCACTTTCAAACTCCTTTGGCAGAGTATGCAGAACTCAAATGATCAAGATGCATCTGACAGCCTTCTGGAGTTAGCCAATCACTTTTCACAATTATGACGATAAGTCGTAGACAAGCCGGTCTTTGTTCTTTACCCATGGGCGAATTTTTGACTGGCGCGAGGTATAAAAAATACTTTCTTATGCACATCTATATGTTATGCCCTTGGCAAAATTAGGAGAGAGTCTAACTTTTTTAATTGAAGATGATCTTCATTTAGTTCTTACCCTGTTCATTAAATTCCATTGTTTCGGACGACGAATTAGCAGTCCACCTTGCTTAAAAAGTGCAGGACTTAGGAGAAAGTCCAGCTTTCTTGAAATATTCTTTTTATTTCAATTT